TTTACCAATCACACGCTTTAAAAAAGTAATCTGCTTTATTTAGACATTCCCCACCACTCAATCCTCCAAGGAGTAAGTAGAAATTTTACTTTTAAACATTCAGGTTCTTATGCAGTTTGCCCAAAGAGCAAATTCTTAATATTCTCTCCATATGCTCAAAGCCGCAATGGACCACAAACCTTACCTACAGGACGAGACCTTAGGCAATAGGGACTCTAAAGAAAATGTCCCATGAATGCGTGAAGAACAGGCAGTGGAGAGGAACTAAGTAGTAAGATCTCAGAGAAGTAAAATGAAAGGCCCCATTTCTGTTTAAAAGTACGAAACCTAAATATCACCCATTTATTCCCACCTTTCTAAGGAGACATGGAAGAATATGGCACAAATACGAAATGGATTCACTCATTCTAAACATGAAGGATTCTATACTTTCATTTATTTTTCCTCATCCAGTATTCTGCTAATCCAGTGAGTCAGCAAATGACATGATAGAGAGGAGAACCGTCTTAAGAAAAGCATCATGACTTAGTGTGTCCTTTCATAGTAACTTTCTCAGCTGAACAGAATCACTGCGTGGGAGAAAGTGCCAGAAAGCATCCTGTGTGACTCTCACTGAAGAAAGCCCTCTCAGAATGCAGTGCTCTACGGAAAATAAAAGCTTTGAGAGAAAAACACACTGAGGAGAAAGGTAAAAGGATGGAATTTGTCAGAAATACTGAATAGTTTCTCGGGTGTGACAAAATGAAAGTGTGCATGAGGACCAAAATGTGTAACAGATAATGTGAAGCAGGAGGAAAAGTTCCAGGGCGGGGGGGATATGAGAAAAGAAGGGAAAAGAAAAAGAAACAAATTTTTGTAAATAGGGAGGGGTGGAGGGGTAGAAGGGAGGGAAGGGGACTGGGGAAAAAATAAGAACCAAGATACATCGAGTAAAGGTACAAATTCCCAGTGATGCATATTATCATACTGTATACCTAAAATATACCACTAAACTAAATGAAAAAAAAGAAAAATCTGAAAAGCAACATATTAACACACGACTGACTATATTATACAATTAGATTTTATTTTCCACCTCTAAATCCAATGTGTGAGAATAATTTTTAAGTGAGGAAAAAGTAGTGTCATAGTCTGTTTTCTGTTGCTATAACAGAATATCCAAATCAAGCTAACTTATAAACGTAAGAAGTTTATGTAGCTCCTGGCTCTGGTGGCTGATGATCTCAGAGCAGGAAACCCACACCTGCCTGGCTTCTGATGAGGACCTGGAATGCATCACAGCACAGCTGAGGAACAGAAGTGTAAGAAGAAAAAATAAAACACATGGAGTGTCTGCATGTTATAACCAGCTGCTGTCCTAGTCGCCAATCCAGTCCCAGGAGAACTGTGCTAAACCTCTTAGGGACCTAACCGCTTCTAAAACACTCCACAATTTCTCAGCACCGCCACACTAACGAACATACAACAACGTGAGTTTTTCAAAGAACAAACCCATCTTCAAACAGAGATACAAGGAAGACACAGGTGTGGAAGTAGACAAAGTATAAGTCAGAAGTCTTTGCACTTGTTGAATGCAGGTCACACACATTGGGGGGCTCTGTGTTTTCAGAGCCCCAACTACTACAAGGTGACAAATCATAATGTGCAGATGACACAAGTTCAACAGGAGGAACCGTGACTGTCATTGAAACACAAGATCTCCCTCCTTCTCTCTCTTACTTCCTTATGGCTGTCCATATCCTGTATTGCACAATACCCTCAGCCATCTCCCCATAAACAGCTGCCAAAGCAAGTTTTATGAGGCTAAGATTGGAACGTCTGTGTGTGTGTGTGTGTGTGTGTGTGTGTGTGTGTGTGCATGCCTGTGTGTGTTTGTGAAAGTGCTGGAGGTTAAACCAGGGGCCTCACACACACTAGGCAAACATTCAACCACTGAGGTATCCTGCAGCCCTACACATACTAAGATTTCAAAGCCTGGTTCAGAATAACTTAATGGCCTGAGGACTGAGCACAGCTCAGTTCAAAAGCAACTTCTAAAGAATCACAATTATTTAATAGTTTACATCTCCAGTGAAAAACAGAACAGCACCACATAAAGAATGAGATATGTGGATACAGACATACAGATATATGCTATAATTTAAGATAGAAAATTACGACACGAACATGCAGTCATGTGTGCAATCACTAGTAAGGAGAATACTAGAATAAACTATCTGAAAGCTCGACGTAGTAGTTGTAGGGTTAAGGTAAGAATCCATGCACCAGAAGCATTAGGACAGTTTGCTAGACACCTGGATCCTATCCTCTGGTTTGAATCCATATACCATGAAGATAATTTCTAAACTCATTTCCATGTGATTGATGAGAAAATGTATAGGGTGAGAACTCTTAGGGGGGCGTCTGCCAAGTTAGTTCTTGAGTCAGTAATTCAGCCTGAACTACAGTTCATCTGGTTCTATTCAGTTCAACAACTACTTGCTGCATGCCTGTGTGGTAGGATAGTGCAGGGGGTTCAGAAATGAACGACCACAGTCCCTGGCTTCAAGAATATGAGGTCTTCCCCGACAGACGTGAGAAGTAAGATGCAAACACGGAAGAAAAGCCCGCCATGCCAGAGCCAGGCAAGTTCACTGAAGAAGGCGCTGAGACCTCCCGCGTGGGGTGTCACTGGAGAGGAACCTGTAAGAAAAAAGCGGGGAGAGGGACGGATGGAGGGCAATTAGAGCAGGAAGAGCAAGAGAGCTGGCAAGAAGCTAGGAGCTCGTGGTACACACTCAAGGAACGCTGCGCAAGGTGAGGGAATACAGTGGACGGCGGGGTGGAGGCTGAGGACGCCGGGTCACTGTCTGGAGGACCAGGAGGAAAGACTGTTTTCACCATGTAGAGGAACAGCCAAAGACTTTAGATCTATGTCAGTGCCTGTAGACCAAAGCAACCCTCTTTAAAAACATACTGCTTCTGCAATAGGCTGTACCTTTTAGAAAGAAAAAAAGTCAAAACTAATTTTAAACTACATATTTTCTATCTGCCTGCTTGGGAATATTTGATTCTTATAGAGAAGAGACCTTTTTGGAGCATGTTAACATCTTGCTTTACTCAGCTTTATACAGGACCACTCTCCCTAGTAAGATATAATAGGATCTCAGTGAAAATCAAACATAACAAAATGGGCAAAATTTTCCATTACGGTAATTCCAAACCTCCACGCAGTCATCCATGAACAAAAAAAAACCTTACCTTCATTATAAATGTCCTAGAATCACAGTTATGTTTCAGTCCAAACATTCTCAGACTTAGGCTACAACTTATCTATTTTCTCTAAGGGGAAATAATCCTATGTTTCATATTTTAAATGCGTGCATGGAGTCACAAGTCATCGAGAGATACAAATAACTATCCTGTCATTTTCCAGTCATCTGACCCATGCTTGTTTTATAGGAATTATTCACTTGAATTACTCCTCTGGTAAAGTGCAGTGTTTTGTTTTACATATGCACAGGAATTTTACATTAGTAAGAGAATCTCAGCAAGGCCACTTTCACAATGAACTCTACAAATTCATAATATTTTAAACTAAACTGTTTAACCCGATGAAAGCAGAAAATAACAAAAAGCAAAATCCACCTAGAGAAAAAACAGCTCAACTAAGCATAAACAAGACCCTGAACATAAACTTCTTGCCTCCAAAACAGAAATATTGGAAAGAGGAAAAACAGAAGAAATTTGCAGCTTCCCTGCCCTCTGCTGGCCGTAAAATCAACTACATCACTAACTAAAGTAATGCATAATAAAATGTCCCTGTTATGAAATCAGATGTTTTTTTTCCTGTGCCAAAATGTCTGTAATAAAAATCCTCGTTGCTAGATGCCAAATTTCAAGACTGTTGGACTCTCTGTCCAGGTACTGAACTTATACATAGATCATTTTACAGTGAAAAAAATTTTTTTCTGTTACATCTTAGTATATTTCATATTTTCTGTAGGCTAGCCACCCAATTCCAAGATTATTTCCTAGGACTACATGTAGATCGATGCCCTAGAAGTAAGCTAGGTCAACTTAGAATACTGTCTCCGAGAAACTGCCAAGATATTTAAAACCACTCATTTTTCCCCCCACCAAACCCTGGAAATAGACGGATTGTAAGAGCAGCATCCCATCAGAAATAATAAATTAGTTTAAAGTATTGGTACGTTTATGTCGACAACCTAAGCGTTTTATATTGGTCAAAGCCAAAGGCGCTGATTAACTGGTCAATCTGAAGGCGGGATGAATAGCACGGGCAGCGGGACCCGGAATTCCAATCTGTTTGCCGTGTAATATGTTTGGGTATTGAAACCTCTGGAGTCGTAATAATGAGAAAAGTTCAGGGGGGAAAGAAGGAATATTTGCTGACTTGTCTTTTCTTTTTTAGTGAAAATGCATTATTGGCTCCCAGTTCCAGAGAAGTTTTAAAATAAACAACGCGGTGTGCGTTTTGGCACGCCCTTTCTCTCTGAACTCCCATGTGAGAATGATTTCTTTAAGCATGTATCTGGTCCGGAATTTGCCGGGAGAAAGTACTGCTGCACTTTTTAATCGATGCCATTTCCTGGAAAGGTAACAATATTATTGTTTTCAACCAATGAAACGTGCCAGATAAATAAATCGTACCAGTCCAAAAAAAATTTTTTTTAAAAAGACCTATGGCCATGGATGCAAAACAACTGCAGGTAATAAACATCCTCATCCTGGAAATGTGCATTTTACTTTCAGATCTCCAAGTGCTGTCATTGTATGTGCCGCCCCTCCCGTGGTACCCCCCCAACACACACACACACACACACACACACACCCCCACACCCGACAATCATACACAGAAGAGCGGAGAAAATATCTGCGCTTTCTCCGAAAAAATAAAAAATAAAAATCCGCCCGGGGGAACAGTGCAAGTGTTTACACCTGGGTCTCAGCTTGCTAAAAACGCATTCAAAGATTTCCTCCTCCCAGCCTCGCCTCACCGGGCACCTCCAGGTGCCCTGCCTCGCTCTCCATCAGCGACTCGGGTTTGACGGCAGGGGACACGGGTCCGCTTTCGGGGCTCACTTGCCATCGCCTCTCCACGCACCCCCAGGCCAAAGGAGACCTCAGTCGTAGGCTGCCCAGGAAGTTTTTGCTCCTTCTCTCTCTTTCCCCTGCAAACGTCTTCTGCTTCTCGCCTGTCCC